TAGACTAGGGGAAGAGGGAAGGGAAGAGGTTGATCAATGGGTATTAAAAGTTATACTTTAATAATTTTAATATAGAAGTAAGAATTTCCAGTGTATGATAGCATACAGAAAGATAACTACAGAAAGCAATTATATACTATATATTTCAAATAGCTAGAAGAAAAGAGGTTTGGAATGTTTTCACAATAAAGAAATGATCAATGTTTCAGGAGATAGGAATTTTTGCCTGATTTAAACATTATATAATATATATACATATATTGAAACATCACATAGGAACCCACAAATAAATATAATTTAAAAAATGTATTTGTTTAAAAATAAATTTAAATTTAAAAAGTTCATCAATATTATCAATTTGAAAATATTTCCTTTTCAAAAGACAGGATTAATGCAGTCAACAGAAATCCATGGCCTAAGAAATATGCATAGTGCTTAAAACTGCAAAAGGATGCAGAGGCAAAATATGTAAAGTGCTACTACATAAAAACAGTAAGAAGATAAAATACCAATTATAAAATGGACAAAGGACTTGAAAAGACACTTCACAGAAAAAAAATCTGAGGATGACCAGTAAGTCATGAAAAAATATTCACCATCATTAGTCATTAGGAAAAATCAATTTAAAACCAAAATTAGGCACTACTTCATATTCATTAAAGTAGATCAAATGTACAATTAACAAAAAGGAAAATATTCTGAATATCTCTATGGAGAAAATGAACCACAGTCCTTATCCTTACTTTATTAAAAATAATAAGATGTATAAATCTAGGTGAATCAAACACTTAACCTTGCACTGAAAACCCAGAACTATAAAGCTTCTGAAAGTCAACATAGAAGGATATTTTCATGACTTCAGTGTCATAAGTTGGCATATGTCAGAATGAAGACTGAAAAACTATTGCACACTGCTGGTGTTCGTGTAAAATAACACAACCAGCATGGAGAAAGATTTGACTGTTTCCTCTGAAGTTAGTCCTTCATACCCTATGACCAAATATTCCCACTACTAAGTATTTATCCCAAGGGTTTAAAAGAAATTAACACATTTTTTATAAGAATATTCAGAGGAGTCTAAGTCCAAATAATAAAATATTTGAAAAATACTACAGTTTGAATCTTAAGGTTAGTGTGTTAAATGCTTTGTCCACAGCTGATGGTGCTATTGGAACCAGGGGAAACTTTTAGGACTTGGGACCTCATGGAAAGAAGTTAGGTTATAGTAGTCATGACCTTGGAGAGGACACTGAGACTCCCAGCTCTTTTCTTTCCAGTTCCTGGTCTACATGAGGTAGACAAACTTTCTCCACCATGCACTGCTGCCATGATGTATTGTCTCACTATAAGGGCCCTCAACAGGACCTGAAACCTCTGAAACCACACCCCAACATAAACCTTTCCTCCTATAAGTTGCTTTGTGTTAGTGAACACATTCATCAACAGGAAAATAAATCAACAAAGTGTGGTTCAATAGTATAATAGAATACTGCTCATCTATAAAATGTATCTATACCTGTAACAACAGGAGCAATTCTTACAGAAATGAGTTGATGGGAACAAAACTTGAAACACAAAAGCACCTATTGTAAAATTTCACTTGGTGAAATAGTCAAAACTATTCTATAGTGATAGAAGTCCGCAAAACCAAAGGCCAAATTGCCGCAGTCTGGCTGGGCAAAATAACCAGGGGGTGACAAGCAACTTGTGAAGGTTGATACAGTTAGAGCCTCTTTATTAAGGGATAGAGAAGTATATAGACCCAACTAATTACACACAGCTTAACTTAATTAACATAAACTAGATACAGCAGTCAACCAATAAGGAATCCTCATCATCTTAATGATTACACACAGATTAACTTAATTGACATAATCTAGACACAGCAGTCAGTCATTAAGGAATCTCCATCATCTTAATGGCTCACTGGCATTACTTCTCAAACCACTCCTCTTGGCAAAGTGCCAGGCGCCATCTTGACTTGTCTGTGGCCCTCATCACCAAATGTTTTCTCTAATATGTGGATGCTAATTTATAATAAGGTGAGGGGTGGGGGGCACTAGGGGAAGAATAGTGTTACCTTAGATAAGGCAGAGGGAAGTGATAGGAGGGGAGGAGACAGAATTTGGAGATCGGAAAGATAGTAGAATAAAATAGACATTATTACTGTATGTATACATGTGACTACATGACCAATATGATTCTGCAACATGTACGCTCAGAAAAATGAGAAATTTATATCCCCTATATGTATGATATATCAAAGTGCATAAATGCATTCTACTGTCATGCATAACTAATTAAAACAATTTAAAACAAAGAAGTCAGTAAGTGTTTTCCTCTGTGAAGAGAAGTTAGATGGAAAAAGGTTTGAGGACAATTTCCAGAATGATATAACTTCCCGTTTTGTTCATAGTAATGGTAACACATATATACACAATTTTCAAAACATATTAAACAAAACTTTAAGAAAAATATATAATTGTAATAACTTATACCATAGTTAAAAAATTCCTCTAATGCATATAAAAATATATAATTGTAATAACTTATACCACAGTTAAAAAAAAGTCCTCTAATGCATCATTTATATAGGAGCTAGAGTAAAGCTTTTAATTGAGCTGAATGATGTTTGTTTATTGCTTGTCTACCAAATTCAGGGTACTCAGGCACTGATTTGGTGAAGAATAACCCCTCTTCCACCCCAAAAAGGGAAAGGAAAAAAGAAACAAAATAAAGTGACTTGGTGTATATTATATTCTCTTTCTTTTGTTGAACAAATATTTTTTAAGCACCTGACATCTCACCTATTCTAGACATTGGAAAAAGATAAGCAACAAAGAGATGACTTTTCTTCACAAATTTTTTTCTAGTGGGGAGAAAAATAAGTGCATAATGCCAGGTACTCTTTTTGGATGGAACAAGGGTAGTCCACATGGAGAATATTACATTTGAGTAGTCCCAAAATGAATAATGAAGGAGGCTGTTTGGAATTTGGGAATAAAATAGATAAATTTCAGAATTTGTTTTGATGGTACATATAAGCTTTTAAAAAATATAGTCCTTAATTTTGTTATTGTATGAAGAAATAACAGGAAAGTAAAAAAAGAATAATTATGGCTTTAAATTGTGGATCATTACTATTGTTTGGAAAAAAAATACTTTGGGCACAGTGTGCAGAGATTAGAAGGTGGGAGGATATCATTATCTAATACATGAATGAAATTCTATCTTACACAACCAAATGATGCTAAGTGGGAACCTGTGTCCCTGTTCAGCATTTCTCACACATGTGAGAAAATCTAGGCTTTCCACTCCCTGCATATGTTTCTTATGTCACCCTGGACATCTGCTAATTCAGAACATCTGTTTTTTGTTTCCACTGGATTGCCAAAAAGAGAATGGGGTCATTAGTTATTCTACAATGTGAAGTTTTCCAGAACATTATTTTTGTGTGAGGAATAATAATGTCAGGAAAGCCATATCCTCCACAATTAATTCCAAAGTTTGCTTCACACTAAGAATCATTATAGGAATGATTTCAATGGAGATTGCCAACTATCACCAGACTTCAAATAAAAACAAAGTCATTTCATACAGCATTGATCACCCAGGAATCATTGTAAACTGGTGTTTTCTGAACACTAAAGTAAAAACAAGTAATAAATAAGCTAAGATACTTAGCATGTCTGGTGAATTATCTTACATTTAAATTATGTTTACTGTAGTTTGAGTTCAGAAATATTTGCTAGAAATGAATGACCATGTGGCTTACTCTATTTTTATTTTATTTTTTGTTAATTATCACAGTTACTGTGTGGTCACGATGAACCACTGAAAACTTACTATTATGTGCAAGACCATATTCCAGAAAAGAAATTATATGCATTTTATATTCTTGTTATATGTGTCAAGGTATGCAGATAAATTCATTATCATTTGAATTAAGTTGATCATCTGTAGGCTTTAAGTACCATTCTAGGCTAGATATGAATAATAGTAAGGTTAGGTAAGGCTTTCTTTTACTTTTAGGAAATTTATTTGTGTATTTGTGTGTTTAGTCAGATCCTTCCAATATATATAAAATGCAATAAATGTATAATTACATTCTTCTAAATTATAAAAATGCTGTTATGCACATCAGGTATTATTATCTTATGTACATATATGACTGCATGACCATGTGATTCTACAACATGAACAATCAGAAGTATGAGAAATAATACCCCATTTATGTTTGATATATTAAAGTGCATAAATGCATTCTACTGTCCTGTAAAACTAATTTTAAAAAATTTAAATACTTTTTAAAATGCTATTATGCATTTGATAACTAAAAGCTCTATGAAGACAGTTGTTTTAAATTTTTATGTACCTGTTACCTAAACATTTTTTCAGGTTATATGTGGGATACTATTCACTTATGTTTATGATTTATATTTAAAGGTCACAGGAACAGAAAGGATAATTAACAGCAGAAATGGAATAACAGTGTTACATAGCACTATAGAGATCATGCTGGTCAAATCTTCATATAAAACAGGGGAACAGGTCCAACTTCACCCTTCTGTTTCTTACTTGCTTTGTGTTTTATGAAGTGGTAGTGTTATTAAGATGGAAGAATGTCTGAAAAGACTAGTGTGGGTGCGTCTCACTTTCTAATAAATACATCTAAATTATAAATTTTATATATATATATAATTAAGTATGTAAGTTTTATGATAGTTGTTCAGTATAAGTACCAATAAAACTATATTTTAAAAGGCTGTTTAAAGATCTAACTTCATTCTTTATATCTGATGTATTACTTATGTTATCTCATTTCTTTTTACTATGTGCCTATTCAACTCATCTGCTGTTATTTCCAAGCTGTCCACATTGATATGCATTCAAAGTTTGCTTGGATTGTAAATTTAGAAGTTGGACACACAGAATGAACTGCTGAATAATTGAAAAATATTGGTTTTGTTCATCAATCTAATCTTATGCTTTTTTTGTAGGAAGATGTCAAAAATGAATATCTGAAGAAGACAAAACAAAAGGAATGGAAACAGTTAAAGGTATACTACCTCCAACGCATGAAAATATATGGGATAACCAATTCTTTCCTTTTAGTAGACGATATTAAATGAGTAACATCCAAGAGTATAAATATTAAGGAGAAAAAAAATAATTATAAAAATGCATGTTAGACAAAATATTTCAATGAAAAATATGTTTTTTTTAATTCTTTATGGCTTAATACAGTCTCTCTTTTTGTATCTGGTATTGAATTCAGGGGCACTTGACCACTGAGCTCCATCCTCAGTTTTATTTTGTATTTTATTTACAGACATGTCTCAATGAGTTACTTAATGCCTTGCTTTTTTATTTTGAGTCTTGCTTTGAACTCATGATCCTGTCACCACGCCCAGCTTAATACAGTCTTTTAAGAGATATACAGATTACCTCCATATGGTAACTATTTTTTTATCCAAATGTAAAGAGAGAGATATGTACTAAACATATACTGTGTGCTACGTAGTTTATATGTGTTACCTTGCTTAGCTCCTTAACTGCAAGTACTGCTTTCTTGTCTTATGGAGGAGGACACTAAGGACTGGAGGGATCAAGTGTTTAAGTAGCACAGGTAGTTAATACAAATGTCAAATACATTAGGTATCTCAGATGCGTCCAACTCTTGGTACAATGAGTTCTTTGTGATTTTATGGTATTTTCTTTTGGGGCTATAGAATGTGGCTACAAAGATAAGTTAAAAGTGTGTGTGTTTATTTTGTAATATATATGTCACAGGGTAAAAAACTCTTGATTTTCACTTTGCTGTGGGGTTAATCCAGAGTTTTGGCACTTTGAAAAATTGCCAGGACCCTCATCATCATTACCAATATCATCTCATTACTATCTCCATTAGTTATCCAACACCTCATATAAGATACACAACAAGGGTAAAACCCTTTAAACATCTCATTTGTGTACAACTTTGAATGTGTTGTGAAACAAAAAGGGATCATTTGAATGTTGTGGCACACCTCAGAAACATAGTCTCAAAAATAAGTAGAAAATACAAAAGGAAAATAAGTAACAAAGATCTAAGACAATGGACCAATGTGTTCTTCTGTTCTCCCTCTCCCTCTGGACTGCACCTTCTGTCTTCTGTGGAATGGGTATTGAAAACCATGGTGCTTTACCACTGAGCTACATCAACAGTCCTATTTATCTCTCTCTCTCTCTCTCTCTCTCTCTCTCTCTCTCTCTCTCTACCTACCTACCTATCTATTTATTTATTTACTTACTTATTTTTATTTTAAGACAGGGTCTCACTGTGTTGCCAAGGTTGGTATCAGATCTACATTCCTCTTGCCTTAGTCGCTAGAGTAGCTGGATTACCCACAAGGTCTACTGCACCCAACCTTGTGCTGTCTTTTAAAGTAGCGACCACTCTTTATATTTCTGGCTAATGCTTAAATGAATGCAGTACAAGACACCACACCATTGACAGAAAGTATAAATGTCAGGAAGGGATTTTAAAGAGGGCATTTTATTTTCATAAAATAAAAGTTACAGGAGGTGTAGCTCATTTGTAAAGTTCATGCTTAGCATACACAAGGCCCTGGATCCAATCCTTAGCACCCAAACAAAACAAGCAAAAAGAGCCTATAAGACAAAGATATTCCAATGAGCCATAGATTCGTCAGATAAATGAAAGCAAGAATCATGGCTTTTCAAAAGGTTCAGTTTTTATCTCTGACTCTGGAATCCCAAAGTAAGAGCTGCAGAACAGTATAAAATTAAGCCCATATGTATTTCTTTCTTTTGTTTTATAGGTGTATAGGGTGGATAGGGGACATTGACCCATTTAGTAAGAAGGACTGTTGAGAAAACCTTTCCAAATATTTATTTCTGGTAAAAGGAGAACAGTGAGACAAAGAGTGGGTGGGACTAACACCGAAGTAAAACTTCCTCCATAACCATCTGCAATGATGCAACCTTTGGCAGGGTGCAGTTTGCTTTTGCCTTGATAAAGTTCAAATTCTGTGTTTTTTTCTAATCTAATTCTTATGAGTTCATTCATATTCTTGTCAATTAATGAGTTCTGATTTATTCCTATAAGTGATTGCATTTTTCAGAATAATAAGGTATTAGGCTTAAATTATTGTTGAAATTTATAAGTATTTTTTCTTTTAAATTCTAGTTGTTTCTAAAATAAAATTTGACTACTTCTTGATTACTTTGCATCAAATTAAATAAACAAAACATTTTAATAATTTCCATTTTTCCTAATCTCATTGTTTCAAATAGATGCAGTGTTGTAAAAATTTTGTTCTTTCCAACTTCTCCTGCCCTCCTGAATGTCTTTCATTTATCTAAAAGACCTTTTTCTCTCTCATTTGAGATACCTTTACATAAAGTAACTTGTTCCTGTGTGTTGTCAGTTTCATTACTAGACTGATTTCAGTGAAGGAGAGATAGTGACAGGTATGTTGCTATCACATAATGAAAATTCAATATTTATGTTGAATGAATGAATGAATGAATGAATGGCATACATGCCATTGGTAGATGCTTCTATTGTTGTGGTGGCCCAGAATAAATATGTCATAATTGTATGGATGTCACCTCAAATCTGCTTGAGAGAATGTTTCTTGGCAGCTCTGCAAGCTGTATCTAAAGATGGTTGCTCTTATCCCAAGCCCTAGGATATGGGATGTTTTGCCAATTATGCAAGTTCAACTGCCACAGAAATTCTTGTTAAAGATCTCCATGTTACCCGCCATTCGATGATTGGTCCTGGCAGAATGTCTGTTCTACTGCCAATGAGTTGTGAAAGTCAACCTTGATTTTTTTCTCGCTATAGTATATCCATCAGGGAATATCAGAACACACCTATACATCGACTAAAATAATCTCATGAGAGGGAGCACATCAAATTTCCTAATTTGTAGACATTATACATGCATTAGCAAGAAGAGAAAGCCAGCTTTCAGGTTCATGGTTTCTAGCTGAACAGCCCAAGGCAAAATAAATCCTCTGTGGGCATTTTCTGATTTATTCACTAAAAAAATGGAACAAAGAAACAATTAATTGGAAAGAGAATGGAAAAACACACTAGTTGTTTACTGTGGTATGTTAATCAATATTTAATAGACTGTTACTCCCACATTCTTAAAAAAAAAAGCCTTTGATCTGTAGCATTTGCCAATTTCCTGGTAGATATATGTCCATCATTATTAATTTGAAGTTCCCAGCACAATGTCACTGAATGTGCCGTTGGGAAGGGATGCACCCAGTTGGCTCTTATGGACTGTAAGCCTGCTCCAGCCCACCACCAGTTCCTGGCATCTTGTAAGGTTATGTACTTACACAAACATAGCTCACCAACTTGGTCCTGGAAACTGACTTTTAATTTAAATTGCCCAGAAGATGAAGGAAGTGATGAGATGGCGAGAATTTCTACCAGCACTAGGGGCTACTGACTGAAGAGGTAGGGTGACTTCATAGCACAGTAAGAAAGATCAAGAAGGTAGAAAATTGGGGGTCATATTTCTCAGTATTCCTAACAACAGTCAAAACATTTCCTGGATTTTCCATAGCCATATAGTGTTTCTACTTATTCTTGCTGGTTCTTTTAAATTAAATTTTCTCATGAATAATATTTGATATTTATGCTTCCTGTTTATTATATTTAGTTAGACACTCTACACCAAGGAAGACCTGTTATCAGATAGCCTTGTCATTCCTGTCTTTAGTTAAACCCCTTTGCCATTCTGAGAAAGTTTGGCTTTCTCAAACATCTAGCATTTGGTGCTTCATTTTTGCCATCCAAGGTTTTGTCTTTATGACCGTTCTATTTGGTTTAGTTTTCTTATTCTTCCGAATTCTATTTCAGTTCTCTTCTTTGTGTTTCCCTTACTCCTCAACCAATTTACAGAGTCTGTTCTTTCTTCAAACAACAATTGCCACTCTCTATTACATATTCCCTGATTGCACCTAGCTCCCTCTGTGAGCCCTTTCCAAACGAGCGAGTATGGGCTATAATTTACAATTAGCCACTTGGTGACATTCTGAATTATTATTTGCTAATGTTTTATACATGTGCCTTCCTTTCTATTTTTAAGTATATTTTAATGCACTTGTGAATAGGGACCATATAAAATAGAATAGCATGAAACACAAAGGAAAAACAAAGAATGTAAAGTTGAATATAGAAATGGAAAAAGAATAATAATTTGAGTAAAAGGTTTTCTAATGCTTTTATCAGGTTTTGGCTTTATAACTTTAAAATATTTGAGATCTTTTATGAGTTAGAACTAAAAATGTTTAAGACAATAATAGTTGCAATCTATTTACTTCACTCAAATTCTTTCTTCTAAGAAAAATTTTGGTTGACAATCTCATCATTGAATGAAGAATAAAAGTATTAAGAATCAGAGTGAAGTTGCAAGTCAGCATAGAAATCTATTTTAGCGCAACAAAAACTGACGCAAATAAAAGCCCTAGGAAAAAAAAAGAGAACATAATTATTTTAAGGTATCTGAATTAATCACTCCACATTAATTTTCAAGTCTATTTTCAAATTTTAATATGAAAATTCAATAAGTTGCAAAAATAAAAGTACAATATGGGCTCAGTTTTGGTCCATAGTTTTGCCTTTCTCATGGGTTAACTGGCTTTGTGAGTTAAGGAAAGGGTTCTGGTGGGCAAGGATTGGTCATTTAATGTTAGCAGGGATATGTTACAGTTTATTGGGTTTATTTTAAAGAATCTTTACACTTATTAAGCATCTCAAATTAATATAACAATATTAACTACTATTACTTTCTTTTTTTGTTTATATCTTGTTTATATAACTTTAAAATTACCCCAAATATTCTTTACTTCATTGAAAATTAAGCATTATATTTATCTAGAGTTTTCAAAGCACTTTTTCTATAGAAGGTAACTGGAGAGTCTCCATGACCGAATGAAAGGTAAGGCAGCTGTTATTATGTCTGATTTAAGTTTGAAGAAATTGTAACTAAGTAACACCAATTTAGTCTCCTATATTCTCACTCCAAAATGT